CCCCACAAAGCTAGAATAGAAAATATGTATACGTTGGTGGAGTTGCTATAGCTTTGGTCTTTGGAAAAATGTACTAGCTCCCTGGTTTTCTATTTTTTTGGCTTGATTGCACTTCATTTTCAAGACAGATCTTCAGTAGCTGTCACCAAAACATGTAATATGGTTATAGTTCTGTAGAGTCATCATCTTTCTATCACTACTAATACTTTCTTATAGCTACCTTTTTCATTTCAGTGTCCAGAAGAATTAAATATTTATGGGCTTATTTCCGTCTCCCTAATAGAACATAGTTCCCTCCGTTTCTTTTACATCTCTTGCTTTCCATTTTTACCAGTATTATCTGTTGTTTCTTGCAGATATTGGACCAATCGTCCAATTCAGTTTCACTACCTTGACTGTTCCCCAAGTAGTTTCAGATTTCATTGTTAACCTTCTTTCTACCTTGGAATTGCTAAGAACTTGTGTGAAAGACCCTTTCAAAACAACTCTGTTCATAATACCTTATGAGAGTAACTGAACTCAAGGAAAGGCCATTGTCTCTGGTAGGGATGAGTGAATGAACCTTGCATGTTACTTTTACACATGCTCAGCAAATCTCTGCAGCTGTTCCTACTGTTTGAACATTTATTGAACTATGACCTTTCACACTTTAGATTGAAGTAGAGTACTAAAGTATACCAACTAGGAAATTATTTCATTGTAGCAGACATATTCTTACATAAAATGGTCAGGTATTTATTTGTTAGGATATATTTAAAGAAAGAAGTTATGTTGTTAAAACTTAGATAATGTTTAAGAAACGAGTGAACCTGTTCCTGAAAAATTGTCTATCTGTGGAAATCTTTGGTGTGTTCCAAGAAATGTGGGTTCACACAAATGGTAATTTGAAAATAAACAGTTGTAACATAAAAGTTTATGCTAAAAGCCAGGTACCCAAACCATGTCTTTGTATCACCCAGCTAAAGTTAGGAAATCCACATACTTAGGAAATAATGAGGAATTTTCAACACTCCATCTTTGACATGTTACTGCTAGTCAAGGTATATGGAAGGGAAAGAAATCCGAATGACCTTGTTTTCAGTTTTAACTGTAGGCTTCACTGTCATTTGAAAGTGGAAACCAAAGGTGAGATGTGAAAAGATACTCAGAATTGGCATGCTTTTGGTTTTGTGTTTCTGAAGTAGGCAGTAAGAACTCAATAGGCTACACTTGTATGAAAGGAAATTGCCTCATGCAGACATGAGAAGATGAGTTGTGGTATGACATGATCTGTTTACTGAAGACAGAGATAACCTGTGGCACATGTGTTAGTTGCAGAGAAGGCACCCTGGGTAAAAAATACCCTTTTCAAAAATAAAGAATAATATTTTGGTAAGTGCTTAAATAATGCAAACAAAAATATTCTGGCAAATAATGTTTCACTACTTAATTATCCTCTTTCTTTCATGTTGGGAGTCTGCTCCATGAGGCACAATTCTGTTTGAGTCATGAGGAAGAACTTTCTTGAATGCAATAGAAAGCCTAAAAACAGTTTGTATTGGGATCTCCACAATTGGGATCTCCTTTTTTTTTTTTTTTTTTTATGCTTACCTTCACTGCTTCCCAGCTAGAATTAACCAGGTATTGTCTAAAGGGACCAAAACCTGAAAAGAAAGGAGACTGCTTTTAACCTATGCTTGCTGTGCGATAGTATATTAGGTGCTGACACCTATGCACACATATATTTTTTTCTTTATCTTCATATTTTTGGTTATGTTGAGGTTGAGTTTTTTAGATAGGATTTAGTCTTTATAATGCATAAGGAAACAGCATTTTCATTTTTTTATATGCACTGATATAAGACCTAATACTGCAATATTCGTTCAGGTCAAGACTTTCTCACGAGGTGGCCTTAACTGAAGCTGGTAAATGTACTGGAGCCAACAGGACAGATCATGTAAATGATGATTTTGGGCAAGGATCATCATCCATAGAAATACCACTACTAAAAGATCTGGTGTTAAATACTCCCAGGTCCCAGTCAATGTACATTCTTAGTGTTAAAGCTCATTAAGATGAAGATATGCATATTTAATGAAAATGTTTGAAAGAGTAAAACTTTATTTCATTTGTATTTTTTTTTTTTAATACCAAGTAATGAAAACTTAAGCTTCCTGTCAGGGAAAATGTGCTTTTTGTGGTGCTGGGTAAAATGTTTTCCTTCATTTTTTTTTCCCCATAGAAAAGAGAGGAAGAAAGGGAAAAGGACCCTTTGAATCCAAAGTACTACATTTAATTTTATGCATCCTCTTTTGTGAAAGACTTTTTTTAAAATAAAAAGAAATAAAAACTAATTTTGAGCTAGATGGGCATTTTGTAATGAAAAAGTTTGATGGAAAACTCCCACTATTTTTATTAATCTCAATTACTGTTCTCAATCCAGAGTGTTGCCAAGTCTTAGATACTGGGTGGCAGGAAAATGAGTTTGTGAAATGGTTTCAATGCTATAACTCTTAAATATTTTAAAATCCTTAAATGGACAAATAAATACTTGACAGTGTATGATTGTTCTTTTGCACAGTGAAAGGTACTTGTAAATGGGGACAATTAGGCCTAAATGCAGGCTTATGACAGCTTAATTAATGCCAGACTTCAAGCATTTCTTAATTTGTTAATACTTATTTCATAACTGCTCAATCTTTTCTCTTTAATATTGAGAAAGCTCGATGGTGCTAATATTTTTGACAATGTTTTCCCCAGTTTTAAGTTTGTACTATGGGGAGGGAACAGAGGAAATACTACTCATTTCACATTAACAGGGAACATAAAACCTCACTAGTGCCACTTGCTTTGGGAGCAAAATTAGGGTGACACCTACTCCATTCTGAAGCTGTAGTTGTTGTGCATGTTTCTGTACATGTGTGTGCAGAACTGCAGAATTACAGTAAAGTTATTAAATAGCTCACAATGAAATACATGCATCTCGGTGGTCATAAGAAACTACTGCTTAGGATAAAATTGTTCTGTGAAAAGAAATTGAAGAGTTTTACAGTACCTGCAGCAACTCGGAGAGCTAACTGGCTGAATATTATTAGGCACTATATGATAAACTAAGCTCACTGTCAGCAGGACTGTATTATGAGCAGGTAAAAATATGACAGCAGCATGCTCTGATTATCTAGTAGCTTAAAGATGCACCTGTGTCTTTATTGGGACACACTAATCTAAGACTATTTGAACAAGTAGATTTCTGCACCTAAATGGCTAAGGGGAGGAAAAAACTAATAGGGTGCTAAGAAGTGTGCCCATCGAGGGTATATGCCATAAATATCATAGGAGAGAACCAGATTGTCAGGCTTTTAAGAGGTTAGCAAATACCTCTTGCTCCCTCCTGCACTCCCATTCAGCTCTACTGCAGTTATATCTAGAGCAAGCCGAACTAGTTCTGCCCATCTTGCAGCTATTAAAAAAAAAAAAAGTTTAATTGAAAACAGCAAGATGTAAATCTCTTTGATGTAGCATCAACCTCATTCCTATGTCCTCAGATGACCTGCAGTGGAAAATTATCCAGTAACTCACATGTCAAGATATGTGTAATGATTGCCTTTAGACGAGCTAGTGCCAACAAGAGGAATAGCGAGTAGCAGCACTCCTTAAGAGCTTTAACCTTTTAAAGCTCAGAATTCTCTAGCTGGTGGTTCTGCCACTGTGATTCAGTGGTAGTTATAGCCAGCAAAAGAAGCTCCAAATTCGGTCCCTTATGCTGCATGTTCAGGCATGCTCCTTTGGTATATTTAAATTTAATGGTCTAGTTTAGCAGTGATGAGGCAGCAAATCCTGTTTAAATCTCCCTTACCTTGCCATGAAACCGAGACCCTGAAACTTGCCATGTGTTACTCTAATTCTGGACACTGACTGTGTGACATTGTGATGCAACCTGGTTTTCTTGCTTCAGAGCTCTTTTTTGGGTAAGCTTTATCTAATACTAGCCTGCACTGCCTTGAGCTATGTGGTTTGGATCAGAGAGAATGTCAACAAAGATTAAAACATGGAGAGAATGAACAACAAACCAAACTGGATGGCAGTGTAAAGAGGGCAGACTGCAGTCTGTTTCCTCTGACATGCATCTGATTTTTCTTAGGAAGGCACAGCAGCACGTTATTTTCCATTTAGAATTGTTAGTATGACCATTTGCTACTGTTTTCCCCTCTGTGGAACTGTTTATGACACAGATCAAGCATGTGTGCATACCATCTCTGGCTAAAAGAAAAATAAAATAAAAATCTTACCAGTTACAACCACAGTGCTGGAATTTGAATCCATTAAATCTACGTTCCAGAAGGTGAAATCTTCTTGTCTTTCAGTTCCAAACACTAGTACAATTCATGTATCTGTGGCAAACTTCTTCATCTGGGGTACCTTTTTTTCTTCAAACTGTGATCTGTCTGGATTCACATGACAGGGATGATCTGTGATTCATGTAGCTTTCAAAGCAAAAACTGTTATGTCTCCGTATTAAAGATAGGAGTCTTGACTGACCGGCTGACTAACCGTGGGACTGCCTCAAACTTCTTTTCCTTTCTTCAGGCACGCAATAGTATTTAGGAGGAACAGGAAAGACTTAAAGAAACTTCTTGCAAAGTATTTTTCATCAGAAACCTGTTTATGTACAAGTAAACAGAAAATTGAATCAATTTTATTATATCTCTGTGGATAGTCTATTTTTAGCACAGTTGCAATTCACTTTAATCGTAAGCAATGATTTGACTACAAAAATGTATCTGGCCATTTCCACTGTTCTTAGACTTTTTCTTACTGACTTACAAAACTCAGGTAACTTTGCTGTTCCTCTTCATAGCAGTTATCTAATTGACTAATCTTGATCTTTATCTTATGCTCTTTATGAAAGAGTCCAAGCATCTTACACTTTTAAAACCAAACACCAATAGGAAAATGTGTGTTTTTGCTAAACCAAAACATTTACTCCTTGAATAGGCAACATGTTAAAAAAATCTCACTCCAACTTGCAAGGTCAAAGGAACTCCAGCAGCTGGGTTACAGCTTGCCGAAACTGGTGAGTTTAATAGCTGGTCTGTCTTCATTAAACTGAAGCATGAGAACCAATAGGGGGGGCCTGAAATCAAAACATATGCACATTGTCACTGCCCAAAACAAAAGCATATGAAAGTTCTCTTGGGAATTATAACTATGTGGGCAGAGGGTTTCGCTGGGTCTTGTTTTGAGTAGGAAGCGTACGTGTGTGTGTGAGAGAGGGAGTGAGGGAAATATGCTAAGAATAGAAAGCCACTATATAATCTCAAGAGAGCTGGTAATTGTGAGACCTTAAGGGGAAAAAAAAAAAAAATCTCTGAAGAAATCTCTTGGATTGGGTGGTGCGTGAATGAGGTTTGGAGCTACGAGCTGTGTCTGTCATGTAAATCCTCCTGTGCTGAGACACAAAGAAATTTGTGAATTCTTTTAAATAAAAAGACACTGATTGCACCACCCATTTCTCCCTCTGATTATTACAACTTGCAAAATGAACTTTTTCTAGCTGCTGAGACTGAAGCAGCAGCTAATACAGTAAACAACAGAACTCTATGCAGCTTTAAATAAGGCAAAATTTGCTACTGAGTAGTACTGAGACACATCTAAAATTCTACAGTCTTTAATTCTCCTATGTCAATTAAGATTTTCATCAATTAATTTTCCCCTGTGTGACCAGTTAGTAAAACTCTTCCTATGATACTGAACATGACATACCTGTCTCCTCATAGTTATTTCTGATTGGTGATATAATAGATTACCAATTAAAAAAAAAAAAAAAATCTAAGTAAAGGGTGGACTAATGAACAAAGCATATGCAAGGAGTAAAGCAAGATTTAAGGTCTATAATTGCTTAATTAATTTCCTGCATGAGAAATTATGTCAGTGTTTTGTGTGAGACATTATAGCTGCTTTATAGATATATGTGAAGGGTATTGCTTGAATGCTGTAAAAGACTAGGTATTTTGTTAGATATTCTTGCATAGCGTAGATGTAACTCTATTAGATTCACGCACTCTAAAACAACAGGTATTATCTGTTTGGACTGTAGTACTAGTTTTTAAAGTTTTCACAACTGGCAAAAGAGAGTAGAAAAAATACAGACCAAGTAATATAATTTCACTAATTCTTGATGAAGAAGCCGATAGAAATTTGAGGGGGGAAAAACCCCAAGACACTTTCTAATGACTCCTTAGTTAAGTATTGTCTTCAACAGTTGAGTTAGTCCCTTTCCATAAGTAAAGGTTTGCTGATTTGGTAGTAAAGATCCTGAAACCTTTCCAGTGTTCCTATATGCTTGTACAAATGTGGGAGGAATGCTGGTGGTTTGAATAAACCAGGAATCTGAAGTGTACTGAAATTCATTTTAGCACCAATTTGATTGATTGCTTCTGTTCTCAAGCTTTATGTGCATGATAGTATACTTGGAGGAGTAATGCATGTATTGCAGCTGCATTACATTTCTGCGACAAGCAGAATATAAAGGATATAGTGGCTTCAAAAGAGTAACAAAATCTGGTTAGGCCTAATGAAACCTTTTCTTTTCTCTAACATTTCTTCAGCTGAAGTCAAAACTACTCTTGAAATTTTTGTGAAAGTATGATTGTAGCTTTAATATTAGCACCCGTGTATATGTGCCTATAACAATAGATACTCAAGTCACTGGATATCTGAGGTCTGTGCAAGTTAATCTCCCCATCCATAATTAAGAAACCAAGACCTGGATATTTCAATGCAAGTCACAGACACAGCTGACTCGCCTTAACACTGGTGGGTTTTCTTCTTACTATACACAAATGTGATTGGCATGGCACTCAACTTGAGGTAAAGAAGAAATGGAAGCAACTCAACTATGAAAGCCCTGGTTATCACCTTGAGTATTCTTCTGTCCAGTTGTCTGATACATTTTAAAAGTATTTGAAACTGCTGAGTAAGAGAAAAATATATTTTCTGCAAATTCATTCTGTTCACGTTGCAGAACTGCCAGAACACTGCTTGAGTAGCTTTTTAGTACTGATGGTAACAAGAACCAAATATGGCCCTTCATTTAGAAACAGCTCTTTAACTTTTATCTCTTTTATTATTACTTACATATAGATTTTTTATTTCTTGTTATTGGCACGCACTGACCAATGTTTTAAACTGTTAAGTGAAAGTGTTTAATATATTCCAATTTTTATCTCAGCTGTTCAACATTTAATGAGAGGAGGGAGAAATCCAGCTGTTACGCTATTTAACATTAACTATAATGGGACTTGAAATAGATATTTCAGGATCTAACACTCTATATTTCTTTTCCATTCTAATAAAAATAAATGATCCTAAGGAAAGATCAAAGCTGGTCTTTAGGTAGATGGAATGCAATGTCACAAAGAGAAGAGACAAACATTTCAGTGTAAAGCTCACTGTTGCCTGTGGACCAATGCTTCTTCTGTAAAAAACTCCATAGAAATTGTAAATGGAAAAATGTAACAGCAATTTCACTTACCTTCTTTTTTGATAGAAAATGTTATCTATTTTATATTGTTGCCTTACTTATATTAGTTCTGCAGTTGATACCATTGATGTACACCCTGTGCTTAGCAATCATGGAAAAGATTGAAATTCTATATAGTTTAAATGTAGCCACGCTGTTTGGGTGTTACAATTTTTCAGTTCTGGTCTTCTTGCAGTATTAGCAAAAACTAACTGCTGCGTATAGACACATTTTTTAAATTTTATTTTTAATTGTTTATAATAGTTTAATGCAGGGAGAAAGTACTTTAGCAGGAGAGCATGCAACTCACAATCAATGGGTTGCTTTCATTCGGGAGCCACTTACCATGTACAAAGAGACTCTGCAAGCATGGTACACACAGTTTAAGTAATTACTATCAGCTAATATGCAAAATAGATAGCTAAGACTAAGAGATTACTAGGCTAAACAGTAATATGCTTACCACTCCTCATAAGAAAACTGATGAGTCTGAGCTGGCCAGGAAGTTTCTAATACACTAGGGAAAGTTGGTCTCTGCCATTTGTTGGTATGGGCTGATGCCCAGCATTACTGAGTTATCTTCAGATTTTCTGCTTTTCTTTCCTTCTTTATCTTTTCTCTTGAATTTTTCACCAGCTAACTACTGTCATCCCAACAACAGCATTTCTGTGACTTTACCTTCTTGTCTTTCATGGCTTTAGCTTACGTACTTTTGCAAAGCTGAACAATTTTCTCAGTAAAACTCAGGCAAGGTCACACGGCAGTGCTGCATCAGACTAGGCCTTGGCGCATGGCACAGCCAAACCTCTGGGCTGAGTGTGACATGGGGAGCGGTGGAAGGTACAAAGCTTCAAGTGATCAGGAGAATGTGCCAAAATCCAGTGATGCGCTGTAGAAGTATGGTTGTGTGACAGCTGCTTCTCTGAGATCGTCAGTGTATGGGCTGAGATTGCTTTGTCCTGTTGAGGAAAGAAAATACAAACCTGCTTCAGTATGTGTTTTAAACCAGTTGAAAGGAGGAGCAACCTTATGGAGTTTTGGGTCACTGTGCTGATAGGCAATGGAGTACATAACAATAATGTGAAGCAGTCAAGACACTGATTTGAAACCTTGCCTGCCGGTCACCACAGTGTTCCTGGATGGTGTAAGTGCAAAGGTAAGTTAGTTTCTGTACAAATGCAATGTTATTTCCACATACTTTTCTCCTCACGTCTTGTACTTTGATATTTGTGTCTGCTATTTTAGAAATAATTAAGCAATCCTACTACCCAGCAGTAGGAAGGCTCCCAGGAGTCAACACCTGGATTCTACTTTCTAATTTTGACAACTGCGTGTTCGCTTTCATCTCTGTACCTCAATTTTACGGTGAGTAGTAACAAACAGCAGGCTGCTCGCCTAAGTTCTCCCTAAGCCTCTTTCACATTGACAACGATCACTGCAGTACCTGGCTGAAGAAGGCTGTAAAAATGTCACTTTTGTACTTAGTTTCCCTCGTGAACCTTCCTCCTCTGCCACCCGAGCTTAAAGAAACTGCTGTTAGCTCTACGTTTTGTCACTCTGGGCCTTTTAAAAGGCGGCTTTGGAAGTTGTGTTCGGAGTTTTATGAGTTAAGACGCGCTCCTGAGCTGGCCCTTGCCGAAGGCCGGGCCTCACCCCTTCAGCCGGCGGCTCCCTCGCCGGGAGCTTGCAGCCAGCTTCCCCTCCCCTCTCCAGCCTTCGCTCCTCCACAAACCCCGCCGGACGCTTTACCGCCACCTCCCCCTGTCCTTTTGCCTCCC